CCAACATGGATTGTGTACGTTCACAACTTATATAATCCCACTGTCGCCTTTTCCCCGAGCGTGGAGCGACGTGTTGATCCTGAAATGTCAACAGCAACAACCAGAAAACTCTCGTTTGAAATCGGACTCGTGTGTCAAAAAAACACAAGTTATGAGAAAATAAAATGCAGAAACAGTTGTTAAAAGATGCAACTCTCCAAACGACAACTAGAACACCAACTAAAAGTAAAGTCCTTTGATGAAGAATGATATTTTAGATCTAATCAAAGTTATTTGTAGGAGTTCCCAGTAAAACCAGAGCAATGAAACATCTGGATTCCAGCAGAACTGATAAAACTGTCAGAACCCTGGACGCTTGTTTTTTTCCTCCCATGAACCCTCTGAGCAGACCCACCGAAGCAACCACGTGGCAGAGCAGGAGATCCGGGTCATGCAGGAGAAAGTGGAGGCTTACCTTCAGGAGCAGGACCAGGTGTGGAGGTCGGGGGTCACGGACCTGAGAGGGGTGCAGTTTGGGCCGGACGGAGGGAAATGTTGGGCTGTTTGGGAGCCCAGCTGGGAGCAGAGAGTGTCTCGGGGAAAAAAGGGGAGCGAACGTGGGAGCAGGCAGGCAAGAGGGAGGTGCTGCTGGAAATAACAGTTTCAGGTTTCTCCTGATGTCACGTTCAGAGACACTCCTCTTCCTTCCTAAAGAAGAATAACAGAGCGAGATGACAGTGATGGATTGTTGCGATGAACCCACAGGCCCCGTGGTGCACTCAAACACACCAGGCCTTCTGAATTGTTTCCACGTTGGGCTCTGTCTGGACACTGGAAACACGGTGAGGGGGTCGTGGATGTGCACGGGTCTGACTGCTGGAGGGCACATCTGCACCCACAGCCAACTGGAAAAAGCACAGCGTGCTCTATCTGTGTGGAAAAGTTCCACAGAGAGGGGATATGTAAACCAGCGGGTCTGATCGGAGTGTTAAGGTGCGCAGATGGTTCGGCGTTCACACATTCCCACAGCTACTGCTGCGTTTTCAGAAACCAGCTCTAAATCTGCTGCAGAGAGCAGGAGGTTCAGACTTTACCCACAACCGCAGGAGACCGAGGGGTTAACCAGAACGTCTCACCTACCAATCTAATTTTGAGCTTTAAATACACAACACTCCTCTAACTGAGGCCGCGGTCCTCGGTCTGAACAGGGTGGACTGTCCTCTCCAGGCTGGGGGAGGTGCTGCTTCAAGTGGAGGAGTTCATGTGTCTCTGGGTTTTGTTCTCAGTGAGGGAAGAATGGAGCGTGAGATCAACAGACGGATTGGTGCAGCTTCTGTAGTATTGTGGACTCTGTGCTGGTCTGCTGTAGTGAAAAGGGAGCTGAGCTGTTAGGAGAAGCTCTCCGTTTACTGGTTGGTCTACGCTCCTACCCTCACCTGTGGTCAGGAACTCTGGGTAGAATGAGATCCTGGATCCAGGAGGTCTGAAAGAGTTTCCTCCGCAGGGTAGCTGGACTCTCCCTTAGGGTGGGAAGTTCAGTTCTCCAGGAGAGACTGCCGCTGCTCCTCAACATCGAGAGGAGCCAACGGAGGTGGTTCAGACATCTGGTGAGGATGGACCCTGGACACATCCCTAGGGAGGTGCTCCTGGCATGTCCAAGTAGGAAGAGACCCCAGAGAAGACCCAGGACACGCTGGAGACACTAACTCTCTTACAGTCTTGGAACTTCTTGGAGTCCTCCGGAGAGCTGGAAGAGGTAGATGTCTAGACCTCCATGATTAAGCTGCTGCCCCTGAGACCTGAGTCCAGAACCAGATGATGGATGGATGATTAGCTATCATGACTAAGTGATTCTTCTTCTTCTTTCGGCTGCTCCTTCTTCAGGGGTCACCACAGCGAACTAACTCGCACGAAGACTTAGTGATTGTTTTTCCACTGGACGTCCTTCCTGACTCCACCACAGACACTGAGCTACCACAGCGCTCTGCGTGGAGCAGAGCGCTGTGGTAGAGTGCCCGGGGGAGCAGATGGTGGGGGTTAAGGGCCATGCTCAACAGCCCAGAGTGGGGTCAGATGAGGGTGGGGGCAGGTGTGGGTGTTTCACCTTTCCCACCCACAATGCAATGTTGTTGGTGCAGGGAGTTGAACCAGCGACCTACTACTGAGGTGCTTTATTTTGACTAGTAGGGCTTCTGTTTCAACTAGTTGGACAAAAGTTAAATGGTGGCAACAATCTGCTACTAGTAAGAGTTTGTTCAACTGCAAACTGCAGGAACATGCCAGCTGATATGAAGGACACTAAATAAATACATAAAATGCTTGCCATACTACAGATAACCTGTCTGTGAGCTCTTTAAGTAATTTCATCCTTCTCTCTGAGTGAGACGCTGATCCACGGCTTGTTCAGTTGAACCCACTCTGTTCTCGGCTGTTTTCTTTGATTTCCCACCGCTGGTCGGCTCCTTTTTCCACCCACTGTCTTCTTGGAAAGACATTTGCGGGGAGGTTCTTGAATCTACACTTCTGTGTGACTTTTCCATGGCAGAGTTTTCCTTGGCAGCGCCACGAGCTGCAGAGAAACAAGGAGCTGAAGGAGGAGCTGAAGGAGGAGCTGAAGGAGGAGCACCCTCTGTTGGTGAAAACAAGAGCAATCCCCCAGGAGGTTCTGCAGTTTGTTGAACCGGTTTTAAAAAAGAGCAAAGCCACAGACAGAACTGTTAAAGCTTGGGTCCAATTCTGGTTTATAGTTTTATGTTTTCCTTCCAGTGATCACATTTTTCTGTGATCCATTAACTTGGTCTGGATCAACAGTTCTCCAGACTTAGGTTTATCAATCGGTGTACGTCTACAACTGATTACCTTGTGGGGTCAGTCCGATTCAAGATGGCTGCCACAGCTGTCTGTCTACAGAAAACACAAAATGACTAACTTCATATAATTTGGTGTGGTAGTAGCTGAGAGTCCTCCTCAGCACGTACGTCTCCGTTCTTTGTCACATCACAGACCAAGTCCATACGAGACAAGTTTCCCTCGGGCTGATAGAAGAAGAGTTCCCCGTCTCGCCTCCATCCCTGTTTTTGTTTGATGTATTTCAGTTTGTTGATCTCGTATCTTCACTCGAGGTTCAGACCTGTCAATTCATTTAAAGCAAGAAACGATGATTAAAATGTGCAGAACAGCCGCATGTGGTGGCCTGGTTCAAGTTTTGTGTATTTGTCATGTGCAAAACCAACACGAGGTCAACAAGGCAATGAAATGCTGAGGACGAGAAGAACCGTCTCGCCCAAAACAACAACAACAACAACAACAACAACCAAGGCATGCAGCAAAACACTAAAACAAGGTGCCAACGTTGAAACAGAAATGCATCTACAACGGGGTTCGGTGAGCAGTGAGGTTCTTTCAACATCGTGGTTCTGTTGGGGCGGCGTGGTCTTGGTAGCAGGTCCAGTCAGCAGCTTGATGGTGAGAAGGACCGCAGCAGCTGCCCTCACAGGCTGCGGTCCAGAACCAGCTCCAGCAGACAGAGAACATCCAGGTTCCCCCACGGAGCCGAACGGGTCGGTCCGTGCAGGTAGATGGAGGATCATGGAGACGGCCGCCATGACAGGTCTGAGCCTGAGGCTGGAGGGGGCCGGGAACTGAACCACGATGGCAGGACGGCAAGGCAGCGACACACAAAACTCCACAAGTGTGTCGCGGTCAAACCCGTAGCGTGCGTGTGCGGCGTAGGCGCAAAAAGAGTTCAAACAAAAACAACAGAACAAAAAGAGATGGAGTCGAAGCGGAGCTCCCGTCAGTGCGGCCATGCTGCGGTGGGTGCTCGCCTCGTGTTCCTACAGCAGCTCTCCGTGGTTCCCTCCTCCCAGACGGAAACTTTAATTCTTTTCTGTTTGGATGTTTCTTCTTGTTGCGCGTGCGATCATTCACAACAACGTCTCGTTGTTTGAACTCTCCCTCAAACTAATGGGTCGGCCTTCGTGTACGTGACCTTCAAGAACCCACGAGTCGGTACTGGTCCACGGTCCAATGGTCCAATGGTTGGAGGTCCCTGCTCTGACATTTGATAGTTTTCAAGATTTGACCTCAACGTTTTTCTTCTCCTTCTTCAGGGGTCACCACAGTGAAGTAACTAGATTTTACTCCAGATGTTCTTCCTGACACAACACCGAGCTCCCACAGCCCTCTGTGTGGAGCAGAGGGTGGGGTTAACGGCCTTGCTCAAGGGCCCAGAGTGGAGCAAATGAGGGTGGAGGCTTCACCTTTTCCACCCACATTTTGATGCTGTCAGTACAGGGAGTTGAACCGACAACCTTCCGATCACGGGCCCACCTTCTCCAGCCTCTGCACCACCGCTCTCCCAAAGGTTAATGTGTTGACAGTATGCTCAGTGTGACGTCATCGTTAGCTGTTTTTATTTTCTAGTTTTCTTTTCGCTTATAGTTCATTTATACTTTTTTATATTTTTATGTTTTCAGAAAACACAAATAGTTAAAATGAACATAAATAAAAGTAAAACTCTAAACGATTCTACAGGAGAAAAACATCTGTTTCACATTCAGAGAAATCTGGTTATAAACACTTTAACGACTCTCAATAAATCCGGCCGTTTAATCTTAATTCCTTCAGAATTAATAAAAATAAAAACAGCTGACTTGTTGATTAAAAGAACGTTTTAAAGCGTGGAGGAGGAAAATAAAAACATCTCCTCGTAACTGAATTTATTCAGAGAGCGTGAGGAACTTTGAATTATCTCCTAAGTGTTTCAGCTGCTCTAAGAGCTCTTGAAGTTATAATCCCGGTGGGATTATCATCTGATTAAGCAGCTATTAGCTCTCTGATGAACACGTGTTCGTCGTGCTGGGGGTCGCTCTCCACCAATCAGAGCGCAGATCCTCTGAGGCGCGTGAAGATCCACTTAGGGATGACGTCACTAAGCCTCTTACCTCTTCAGGTGAATGAAGACTGGAGGGGGGGACTTGTTTACTCGGACTTCGGACTAAACGCTGGTTCCTGTTTTTGTTGGCGGGAGATCAAATTAACGGCGCGGATTAATCTGAGTTTTAATAATCCTGAAGTCTGGATCCTCTGAGGCCACATGGAGTGCAGCGGCAAGGTAACTGCTGCCCGATCAATACCTGATCTGATAGGAATTAGACCTCCTCACCCCATCCTCCCCCACATTCTCACCCCCACAGACCTAATGACCCCCTCCTCTCAGCTTTGACCCAATATCAGGCAGCAGCTGTGTTCCTGACACGAATCAGCAGCTTTCAGTCGTCGTTTGAGCTGACACGACAAACAGGAAACAACTTGGAAACGTCTGATTGAACTCTGTCGGTCTGTGCAGGAATGCTTGTCGCCCGCCGCCTTTCACGCCTGATCTTTAAGCTCAGGCTGTCGTAAACAAAGCGGAGCGACGGATAAAAACACATTCAGCTTTAACCCGCCTGAACGTAAGGAACTGGATTTACTGAAGAGTTTTAACCAAATAAACACGTCATCAAATATAAAGTCTTGATTTTAAAAACAGGTTCAAACAGAACAGCTGGGGGTGATGAAGACTTCTGCTCGCCTTGAGGAAGACACGCCGCTAAAGAACAGATCGAGCAGCAGCTGCGATGGTTACAGTTTACCAAAGCTGTTTACGATAACATCCATCCATCCATCCATCCATCCATCCATCCATCCAT